TTTTCTCTGGTAATATCACACTACTAACTAGAGCATACAAAACATTTGCTAGACCAATACTCAAATACAGCTCATCAGTCTGGAACCCACATTACGTATCTGCTTTTAGCACAATTGAGAAAGTCCAGAAATATTTCACAAGAAGAGTTCTCCACTCCTCTACTCGTTGCAGAATACCTTATGCCACCAGACTTGAAATTCTAGAACTAGAAAACCTTGAATTACGCCGTCTTTGGTCTGATCTAAGTATGGCATATAAAATCATACATTGCAACGACTTACCTGTCAATGAATACTTCAGCTTCAACCATAACAACACAAGAGCACACAATAGATACAAACTCAAGGTTAACCGCACCAAACTTGATTGCAGGAAATACGACTTCAGCAACAGAGTGGTCAATGTCTGGAATACTCTACCTGCCTCTGTGGTTTCTTCCCCAAACCCCAAAAACTTTAACCTTAGACTGTCTGCTATTGACCTCACCCCTTTCCTAAGAGATCTGTAGGGAGTGTGCATAAGCGCACCAACTTGCCTACCGTCCCTGTCCTATTGTTTCTTTTATTTTTCTTATATGTACCCATTTCATGTATTTATACCTATGTATATACTTATACCTATTAACTTGTAAGCAATTGACAAATATAAATAAATAAATAAATAAATAAATAAACTACCACGCTCAGAGAGCACCAAGGACCCCTCATTTCAACCCTGACCTAGAAACATTCTCTTTTACACATCTCACTGTAAAGCTTGTCCCCATAACATATGCTCAATTTCTTCCATAGGATCCTAATCATCATCCATCCCCATCCCCCACCTTGGTAAAAAACAATTTGGAGGCTGACAAGGATGATTAAAGCTACTCTGAAGCTGTGTCAGTTCTGCTGAGCTATTGCCAACAATTGATGTGACAACCCAGAGAGATGGACACTTTTGTCTATTAAATTTTCTTTTGCCCAGCTCAGTGGTGAAAACAAACACTGCAATATTATTGTTAACTTCTTGCTTCATGTGAATCTCTTCAGCTACTTGACTTTGCCTGATGGGTACAATGCCAAAGGATTTAGAAAGGAAATGCTAGGACTATCACAAAAACACACTTCTTTATCTATATGAGATTGAATAATACTTTCTATTGTTGGCAGACCAATCAGTCCTCTCTTAACTAGAAGCTACAGCTGAGCCAAGCATGTTAACCTGCTCTATTTTCTCTGAATATATTGGAGATGTGGGGGAGGGAATCAATTCCTTCCAATCATAGGATGGGAATGAGCAAGAAAGATTCCCAAAGAAAAGGAGACAGAAAAGGAGAAGAAATAAGTATTAGGTATGTTTGCCGTTTTGAGTTACTTGTAAAGTAATAAAGATAGGATAAAGATATGGACTTCCGGTTTGTCGGCTTCGCGAGCGGCAGGGATTTGCGAAGCTGCGCGATCCCTGCCGCGCTAGCCGTTTTTGGGGCTCCGATCCGGACGGGTACGGAGCTAGGCTGCCCTGCAGGGGCAGCTGAAGGTTAGGGGGATCCGGAGAGGGGTTTGGGGGTGTTGCAGACCCCCTCCCCGGCCGGCAGAACCCCCTTTTCCCAGGACGGTGCAGCGGCGGTCCGTAATGGCCGCCACAAAGAAGCTGGCAGCCGGGTAAGAATGCGCAGGAGGAAGTGGAGAAAGTGCTTGAAAGGAGAAAGTTTTTCTTGGTTCCTAGGACTCTAAGACATATTTAACAAAATTCCTGAAAAGTATGATTTTCTGAATGATACCTTCGAGAAGAGGAAAAAAGCGGCAGTTTGATGGTGCTGAAAGGATAGCTTACCCTCTTTTTCTACGGAATAAAAAGTGAATATTAAGAAACCTATTTTTTTTAGGTGAAAACTGGCTCTAAGCGATGAGTGGGAAAAGAGAGGACTAAAAAAAAAAAAATATTTGTATGCTAAGACTTTGCTGGAGGAGATGCCTTAAGGATTGAAAGACTAAAATATATTGCAATAAGATTTTAAGAAATAGATTTGGACTTTCTTTTTTTCTGATTGATACTACCCTAGGAGGAGAGAGTGGGAACTCTGTCTTGGTTTGGACTGATTGATAACTTTGGGATTGTTTTATTTTTCCTTTGGAATATTTTGGTTGTTGTAAGAGAAAAGAAAAGAAAAGATTTATAATGGCTCCTTCTATTGAGGAACTGAGAAGGGACTATGAGCAAGCAAAAAAAAAATGGTAAAGCTGGTTTGAAAGAAGCCTGCCTTTTTTTGGAAATGGCGCTCATTAACTATCAACAAACATTGCAACAGATGAAGACAGCAGAAGAAGAAGAAGGAGAGGAAGCCATCTTTAATAAATCTCAGAACTCGACCAAGAGGGAAGGAAGAGGGAAAGGAAGAGAAATAAAGGACTTAAGAGTTAAAAAAATATTTAAGAAAGGGAAAAATAAGGTGCAAAATCAATATAATGATGGTAAACAAAAGGGAAGAGGAATACGACAGAGAAGGGAAGCCAGTAAGGCAGAGGCTAGAAGAAGGGGGGGTAGAAAGGTTTGTTGGGAGAAGAAAGAAAGGGAAAAGGTGGAGAAAAGCTACAAAGTTTTGAAATTAAATGGGAAAAAAGGAATCTTTTTTAGGGATAAAGGATAAGTATAATTTCTGCAAAGAGATTTTGCAAGGTACATAAGATGATATTGTAGTATTGTATTAGAAATAGAAAACTTAAATGGCTTAAGAGTTGATAAGAGATTAAAATGTTGAAATGTTAATAATGATTGGTTTTATAATTTAATAATATGAGGGGAGATTTAGAATATTGAGCTTTAATTAAAGAGTTTAATAAGATTATGGTATTGATGTTATTATAAAATTTTTATTATAGTATTTGTTTTTAATATTTAGATTTATTGTTTAACTATGTATTTAATTATTCTGGATGTATTATTCAGTTAGAATGTACCAAGCAAAATCGGATTGGGTATTGGGTGTTATTTTAAAGATTAACTTGATTAATTTAGTGGGGAGATAGAAAGGCATCACACTCTGATTAGTGATTTCAGGAGAAATTTCTTTTTTTTTTTAAGGAATGAGACAAAGGTACAATAAAGAATGGACAAAAGATACAAATATAATGACTCAAATTAAGATGATTAATTAAGATAGAATTAAAAAGAGTGAAATATGGGGAAAAGTTAATATAGAAGACTTAGAATGGTAAATAAAATAAGTAATGATATGTAAAATGAGCATGAATACAATTGAAGTCCATGAAGAAAGAGATACCTGGGTCCAAGTTACTTTCCAAAAAGATCTTTTTTATGTTTTGTGTGTTGTGTATATATGTTTTTTTTTTGGGGGGGAGGGGAGAATTAATGAAACCTTGCAGAAATATAGAATGAGAATAATGGTAACTAAGTCAGAAAGAAATAGATGAAATAATAATAATAAAATGGAATAAGAGTAAAGAGAAATAAAGAGAAAATGGATAAGAGGTTTTTGTATGTTTATATGGAAATGGTTTAAAACAGAATTATAGTTCATCTGACTTGTTAAATTTATAATGGAAAAAGGTTCAAATATGTAATGGATAATGATGACTTGTGTGTTTTGAAAATTAATAAAACTTGTTTTTTTTTAAAAAAAAGATAGGATAAAAATCTAGTAAATAAAATAAATAATAAATTAATAAAAGAAAGAAAAAGAAGTATAAAAATGATTTCCAACTTTCTTTTGCAACAGATATTGGAATGAATTCACATTTTAAGCTCTTACTATATGTTTACAACACAACTTTCATTTTTTCAATAATCTACTATTTTTTTTCTAATTATCAAAGCAAATCCATGTATCATAATTTCATTTATTCTGTTACACACACACATACACACAAAATCCAGAAGGGGCTTCCAATCATTATTGAAATTAATCATTATCTTTTCTTGAATCAAAGCTGTCCATTGCACATCTCAGCCAACTCCAAGAATTTCATCAAACCGTAGAACAACTATAATTGCCTACTCAAACCATTTTATATATGTATATGTGTATGTGTATGTGTATGTGTATGTATGTGTGTATGTATGTATGTGTATGTGTATGTGTATGTGTATGTGTATGTGTATGTGTATGTGTATGTATATGTATATAACACAGCATCATTGCAGGGCTATTGTGAAGAACAAAGCACAAAGAAATTGTGTTCCCTCCATAAGTATCCCACTGAAACCCTCTTTTCCTTTGAGGGAAATACTGAACCCACATTTTTATCAAATGAAATGAGAAATGCTAGGGAAAAAGATTCATAATATTGGGCTCCAGTTTTAAGAAAATACTATTCAAGGTTTTGAAGCACATAACCAGTTTGTGAACTAAAGAAGCTTCTTGGATGAGAAGCAAAATGTTTTCAAGGTAAAACAAAGTCCAGTTGCCTTTTGAAAAAGCACCTTTGGGACAACCAGTTTGGTCTAGTGGTTAAGGCAGCAGACTAGAAACCAGGGTCTGTGAGTTCTACTCCTGCCTTAGCCATTACAGCCAACTGTGTGATCTTGAACCAGTCCCTCTCTCTCAGCTCAGCCCATCTCACATTTTGTTGCTGTGGGGAACATAGGAGTAGGAAATCAGACATGTTGACCACCTTGAGTTATTTGTAAAAATAATAAAAGCAGGATGCAAATAAATAGCTTAAAATATTATTTCTTCTTGAATGCAGATGACACAACTAATGGCAATACATTGCAGCAGCAGATACTCCTACTGTCTTAGTCACTCACTTCTAGCCAGCTCCCTTGTCCAACCCTAATCCTTGATGAGTTAGAGTTTGGATGGACATCATAAGCAAGATAAGCCAGGATGGGGACAGAAGGCAGCAGAAATAAGCAAAGACCAGGTTATTTCATGAACTTTTCCATACACTGGAATTGGTCAGTCTCCAATCAAAGAGGAATATGCTTCTCAAGTTAATTTATGCCCCAGATCCATGAGGAGCTCATGTTTATTGGTTGGAAGAGAACAATCACTCACCGTCCTGAAGGTTACCTGAATCAGCTGGTGATTTGCTCCGGCGCAATGGAGCTGGGCTTTTTGCAGAGCTCTTCTGTGGGGTTGGAGATGACTTGCTGCCTGGGGTGGGAGGTGGGTTTCCTTTCATTACTCGACACTCTGTAAATGAAACAAAAACAGAACACACTCACAAGATTCCATTAAATGGGATGCTTTTTAGAAGCTGAACACCTATATCCTTGATGTCCTTTAGATGAATGGAATTCAGGTTCCCAAATTTTCTGCAATGTTCATGCTGCCTTGTGTAAACTCTGAAACCCCACCCAGGTGGAGGACATCCAGCTTGGATAATTCTGATTTGAATCAGCTTTTCAGCCTGGTTCCTCCCACATGTACATGATGAGGCAGTATCTCCCTAGACAATGCCTTGTAATCTCTCTGCTCCTTTTGTGATCTGCTCTAGAGCAGCGGTCGCCAACCAGTGGGCCATGAGAAAATTTTGGTGGGCTGCAGAGAAATCTCACCCCCAGTATACCCCCCAAAGCAATTAATCCAAGCTGCGCAGAAACACATGGCCTGCAAGAACCCTCCCCACCCACTCAATCCTTACCCGTAAACTTGCCTGCTAAATTGCTATTTTTCCTTTTTCCGACCATCATCTGTTCTGTTGTGCTGGGAGATTTAGATTAGCTAGGAAGCAGAAAATGGATTTCTTGCTTTCTAGCTAGTCTTTAGATCTTCGGCTCTGCTTTTAAGCACAGCTGAACCTCCCTTAGGACTGAAGTTTCTATTATTCAGTGCAGACTTATGGTAAGCAAATTTTATGTGACAGACTGAGCTAGCCGATGGCAGATAGATAGATCACTGAACGATTCTGTGAGCAACTCAATATGCCTGCCTGCTTTGCCTGATTTTGGGTAAAAGTTGCTCTTTTTTAAATAAAAAATTCAATATTTACGTACATGGTGTTCTTTTAATAAAAAATTCAATATTTATATAAATATTTATAATATTTACATGCAAGCCATGACCAGCCAGTCACATGACCACCAAGCCACACCCACAAATTAGGCCATGCCCACAGAACTGGTTAGTGGTCCTTGGGATTTAAAATTATGAGTTTGGTGGTCTCTGAGGTCCAAAAGGTTGGCGACCTCTGCACTAAAGAACCTTCAAAAAGTTTGAAAAGTCTTTGCAAAACTTCATGATATCAAATTAGTTTGATGAAGCTTCACTGAATGAACAGATCAATCTGGTATTGAATCTGCTTTGAATGGCTTCCCTAATGGAAACCAATCAAAAACTCATTATAGTTTAGTATGACTGATAAAAAGCAACATTTGATCTAAATATTGGACATGGATGCCTGGCAGAATAATTTCACTTTGTGCTAAATATACCTATTCCTGATGGTGTAATTCTCCTAAATTATCCATCTTGGCTTGAAATAAAGCATGGTATTATGCTTCTATTCATTCTAGAATGTCTCCTCAAAATCTAGCTTTAGGGTCCTGAATTATGGGAAGATACTTCATATACTCTCCAAGGATCACCAATCTAATTAGGAATTATCCATTTTAGCTGAAATCTAATCGGATGGATGGATGGAAGAATGCATGGCTAGATGGATGGAAGGAAGGATGATGAATGGATAGATAAATGGATGGGTGGGTGGATGGATGAATAAATAAACAAACAAATAAATAAATTGAAGCTGTGAAGGAACTTCAATTCCTATGAAACATAAGAACTGATACAGAAAGATGTGACATTCACTCTCTCCAACTCTTCAAAGCATCTTTTTGGAATAAGATCCAAAACATTTGGAAGATAATAAAAAGAGAGGAAAACCAAGCGAAGGAGATCCAGATAGTGATAATTTCTTACAAAAATGACAATTCCCACAAAAACAAGGGTGTCTGTCATAGTCTAGAGAAGCAATCTATAATGTACAACAATCTTGCTTAGTTCTTACAAAATATTAAATGTCTTTAATAGATTCCAAATGAATCAGTGTTTCTCAGCACAGAGATGGCAGGAGGGACAACTGAGTGGAGTCTTATACAACTACCAGATTTTGTCTAAAGGAAAAAATAATCAAGCAGATTTATAGAAGGGATTTTGGGGGACAGTGTGGCAAGAGCATTGTTTCTTGTCTTGCCTTCTGGTGCTTTGGAAAATAGATTGAACCCCTCTTCTTTGGCAGCACAAATACTGGAATAGTGCTATCATGTCACCCCTTTTCTCTAGATTAGCTACAGTATACCCCAATTCTGGAACTGTTCTTCATATGTTTTAGTCTCCAGGCCTTTAATGTCTTAGTTGCTCTTCTTTGCACTTTTCCAAAGTCTCAACATCTTTTTTGTAGTGTGGTGACCAAAATGCAGTATTGCAGGTGTAGTTCTTACTAAGGTTTTATAAAGCAGTACTAATACTTCACGGGAATTTGAATTGGGTTCCAATTTTGGTAGGTTGGGTTACAATGAGATGCATAAAATGCAACCTATAAAATGCAATTCTATTGTGAGTCTGAGCAATATTATTTTGAAGGGTAATAAATAAATAAATGTAGTAAAATATATGTAGAAGTATTTATCACTCTATAGGCATTTCTTATCTTGCTGTTGTAGAAAATATTTCTTTAACCTTTCACTTGTTGTAAAACATGCCTGCAATCAGTTACATCCCTCTCCTATGAAGACACATGATTGTCCCATCTAAATCAATCTGAATCCATCTGTTTTCCTTCATGAATATGTTTCACCATAGCATTCCCCAACCCCCCTGGGAATGCAAGGTACCTCTCTGGGAATGCAATCTCCTCCATCCAGAGGAATCCACACTTTTGAAGTATGCTTTAATAGCCTTGTTAAGTGGTCAGTTGTGATCAATTAGCATGACAATAGGAGAAGGGATAATGAAAGGTAAACAGTGCCAGGAGGACATTTGTCTTTTGCAGGAAAGATGTAAATCTAAGTTAGAGAGTTTACAATGCAGTTACTCTACTTCTAAAGAATCTTAAAGGTATAAGAAGGCTTTATATGCTTTTGTAACCTTCCTCACATATTTATCTTGTGTGTATGTGAGGATAGGTCTTACCCTAAACTTGTTGATCAATTAAAGTTAGATTTTGTTCTTCAAAGTCTCTGCTTAAGTTCATTTTTGGCACATAGTGATCTTAAGTTATAGCCGGACTTTACAATTTAATATAAAATGCCTAATACAAATGCAAGGTAACCCCCAATTTAGCAGAAAGGTACCCTTCCCCTTTAAAAAATAATAATTGTGCAAGAGATTTTACCATTTTCATCCAGAGAAAAGTCATCTTGGGCATAGCGGAATTTTTCCGGGCCACAAGCGATAAATACATCATCATCACCAAAGAAATCATGAAGGCAAGTTACCTATCAAAAAAATAAAGTTATTTGTTTAGTGTGAGTTGGCAGCATTCATTTTATGACTCAGATTTCTTGGAAACATAAAACTGTTTCTCTCTCTGCCACCAGTATCTCTATTTCCCTTTACACAAACTATAACACAAAATGTAGTGTAGACTTGGCATAAAAAGAATCATCTATCATTTAAAGGGGTGGCGGGAGATCAGTTACTTTGATGGTATGTTAAGCTTTCTGTTTTACAGGTTCTATTTCATGCCAAATGAATAACCAGGCAATTCCTTCCCATGGATTCATTTTACGAGTTCCTGATTGTTTATAGGATTACAAAATTACCAAAGCTCTCTGGGCAGGTTGCAAGAGTAGAACCTGACATTTTATATCACAAGAAGACATTAAAATGGAAAGTGTACGTCTGATAGAATAAAGCCACTTCATTGAATCTTCTGGTACAGGGATCTCCCCTTGGTCCAGCTCATCTTGTACTCTACTAGAGAAGAGGATGAGATAGTTGATAGTCCAATACTCAGAGTCAACTTGAATCTGGTGACCTTGACTCTCCAGCTGTGGTGGTATTCGACTGGTTCTGCCCGGTTCTGGACAGCCGGTAATGGTGATGAGCAGCGGAGACAGGACCGGTTCTCTCCGTTGCTCTGTGTTTGGCCCACCTGGTCACCCGGGCTCCCATACTCACTTTTATGGCCAGAATTTGAAGCGCAGCTGCTTTGTGCGGCGCAGAATAGCACCGCACGGCAGCTGCTGCAACAACCGGCATTGTGTAGGCTTGCAGGAGGCGAGTTAAAACGTCTCTGTGCCTGCGCAAAATATGCATTTGGTGCGCACATGCAAACAAAGTGTGTGCACAGACACAAATCGCGCCCACCAAGCCACACCCACCAAACCGGTGGCAACTTTATTTGAATACCACCACTGCTCTCCAGGCCTACACCAGAAATCAAAATTGATGGACCAAGTTTCCTTAGAAGATATAGGCGGATGATGCTTGAGGCTCAACGGAGAAGTAAGTCCTTCTTGTGAGTAATAGGTTTCTTGGAACTATAGTAGGAAGAATTCAGGAATAATGTATTCTCAAATCTCTGTCCTACCTGAAGTTTAAGCCAACCCATGGCTCTAGAAGTTCTAACTTAAGACTCAGAGTTTCTCCTAGGCAGAGTTAAAATATCACATAACAAAACAACTTCACTTCCCTGCTCCATGCAAAGGAACAACAAAGATGAGTATAATAAGTAAGAAAACAAAAAATGTTCCTGTAAGCTTCTTGATAAATATAGCTATGACAATTTAATTTTAATATATTGTAAACTACCAGTTACAATTACACTGTGACAAGAAAGCTACATTCCTGGAAATAAGTATTTCACAGTCATTCCTGTCACTTTCTCTTTAGGGACTTAAAATATTAAGGTGGCTTGGAACACGCAGGGAATAAAACCTTAAAATAGGGAATTCCTTTAGAAAATGTTTCCAGATGTCTTCTTTGTTGTGAAACACTCCTTTGACAATAATTTTTCTAGAAATATCACAGAGTTCAACATTTGTTAATTTAAAGATTTGTTATTAGTTGGCTGGAGCTCCTGTGTATCTCTTGGACTGTAAAGGTGACAAAGAAGCAAGTACTAGAGTGTATAAAACCAGACCTATCGCTGGCAGACAAAAATAACAGAATTCTGCCTTACTTATTTCATCCATGTCATGCAATCAAATGGAAAAGGCAGTTATGCTCAGAATAGTCAGAGGTAAAAGAGGGCACTAAAAACATGATGGTTGGATACCATCAAAGTCAACAGCAGTCAGAGCATAAAAAAACTGAGACAACCACACAAGATCAGAATATGTGAGGAGAGCCAGCCCATAGAATCACTGAAAATTGGACAGGGTTGAATGGATAGCATCTGTCAGCTGTCCCAGCTTGGACCGTGAGCAAAGAAAGACTCTTGGACTCATGGTCATAGAAAGTACACTTTACTAGAGCCAAGTAGTAACAGAACAGCAAAAGCCAAATGTGGTGTTTCACACCCAAAGAGTATAGTTAACATTCCCCCCTGGATCTTGTTTCCTCCCTCCGTTATCAGTGAGTGTTCAATAGTATTCAAATTAATTATTTTGGTAACAGTCCCCAGCTGCGTGGGCTTGAAGGTGTTGCATTCCATTGAATGACCTTTGAGCAGGCTGCAGCTCTTACAGGATGACATGATGACTTTCCCTTTCCTTTCCTCTATGCTCCCCGCTTCTATCCCACCCTGCAGTTTCCTTCCCCCATTTCTTAAGACAGCCTGGCATCTAAGCAGGGTCAGTGCAGCAGGATGGCAGTCTGAACAGCACCATCATTAGTTGGCTGGAGTATCATAGGGCAATGAACAACTACTTAAACAAATCTGAGAGTGAGCTTGCTTGGAAGGAATAACTACAGGTAGTCCTCGACTTACAACAGTTCACTTAGTGACCATTTGAAGTTACAACAGCATTGAAAAAAATGAGTTATGACCATTTTTCACACTTATGACTGTTTCAGCATCCCCGAGGTCATGTGATTTATATTTGGATGCTTGACAACTGATTCACACTTATGATGATTGCAGTATCATGTGATCATGTCATCTGATCACCTTTTGCAGCCTTCTGACAAGCAAACTCAATGGGGAAACCAGGTTACTTAATAACCAGGTTACTAATTTAACAACTGCAGTGATTCACTTAACAAATGTGGCAAGAAAAGTTGTAAAATGGGGCAAAACTCACTTAACAAATTTCTCACTTAGCAACATAAATTTTGGACTCAATTTTGGTCATAAGTTGAGGACTACCTGTAATTTGCATTAAATGAAAGGGACATGCTTGCAAATACAGGTAGTCCTCAATTTACAACCATTTCTTTAGTGGCCATCACTGAATCAAGTGACCTATGATCACTTTTCACAACCGTCACTGCATCCCCATGATCATGTGATCAAAATTCAGATGCTTGGAGACTGGTTATATCTTTATGACGGTTTCAGTGGCCCAGGGTCACACGTGATCCCCTTTTGCGACCTTCTGACAAGCAAAGTCAATGGGGGAAGCCAAATTCACTTAACAACCATGTTACTAATTTAACAATTGAAGTGATTCACTGAACAACTGTGGCAAGAAAGGTCATAAAATGGCGCAAAACTCACTTAACCAAATGTCTTGCTTAGCAACAGAAATGCTGAGCTCTATTGTTGTCATAAGTAATTTTTAGCTCTTAAAGCAAGATTGAAAAGCCTTTTATAATAATTTATAATAATCTATAATCTATATTTCAAGGATATGCGTTGGCGACCTCAATTTGTAAAATGTGCAGCCATCCCCTGCAACAATGAATTCGTTTTGTCACTGAGTTTATATGACTTTTTATTTGAACAAAAACTCAAACATTACAATGCAGAAAACTGATCTGGAGATTCAACTGAAATAACCTCAGATGGAAATTTTGTGTGGCTCTAAAGAAGAGAATTGAAGTGGTCGTCTTGTTTGATGGTCTTCAAGTTTTCGCTCTGAGATGACATTGTACAGAAGGGCTTTGAAGCAAGACTTGTTCAAATTGAGTTCTCTCATAAGGTAAATCTTTACAATCTTATTTGCCAATTCTTCCCTAGTGGTTCTAATTGTAATTCTATAGTCCTTGAATACACTAAAGACCTGGAGTTTGCTTCTAACCTGCTTCTATCTGGGTCTATCAGTCAATCAGCTGGTTTCTATTTGTATCTGTCTGTCTTTTCATCCATCCTATTTTTACAATCCTATCTAAATCATTCAATCAATCATTCTGTTTCAACATCCATCCATCCATCTTTTTCTACAGCCTTGCTTCTATCTAGATCTATCAGTTGATCATTCTGTTTCTATATCCATCCATCCATTCATCCATCCATCCTGCTTCTATCTAGAGCTATCAATTGATCATCCAGCTTCTATCTACATCTGCTTATCCATCTGTCCATCTGTCCACCCATCCTGCTTCTACAGTCTCTCTCTTTCTCTCTCCCTCATGCCCCATTTTATTCTGCTTCTGCAGACTTTGCTTCTCTAAGGACCTGTCGCCAGCAAGAAAAGAAATCCACAGCTCCCTTTCCCAGAATGAGAGCACCAACCAATCTCAAAAGGCTGGAAAGTTGGGAGGCCGGAAGAGCATATTAGGATGCTATGGGAAACCACTTCTGAATTTTTTTACCAAGGAAACATGTCTATGTCTATGTGATCATTAGGAGTGAAGCTCAAGTTGAAATTCAATATCCTCCCACGATCCATGCCAGTTCTATATTAAGCCTAATAAATACTTTACTTCTAAAATAGCTGACACTCTTTAAAAGACAGGGGTCTACTTTGTGTTCATCCTAACCAGTTGTTCTAATTATACAAAGCAATTTGTCCAGAAATAGAATTCTCAGAGGAAAAACTAGTGAAAATACCTCCAAAAAGACATGCAGTACTTCATTAATGGTTCTAAATGCTTCTTTGTGCTCATAGCAATCATGACCAGGAAAGAGAAGAACAGCTGATTTTCAAAAAGTGAGATAACTAACACAGCAAAGAAAAAAGTTGCAAAATTTATTGGCTGCATTTCCCCATCAAACAATCAATGGTTTGTTTGTCCAGATTTTATTGTATAAAGCACAATTAGTGGCATTCATATATTGTACTAAGCTGTAAATTACAGGCACTTTGGTTGCAGAAAAGCTTTGCCCCAAAATCACATTATGAATAAAATAAGCCTGCATGAGCAAATAATAAAAGAATGGAATGGAATGGAATGGAATGGAATGGAATAGAATGGAATAGAATAGAATAGAATAGAATAGAATAGAATAGAATAGAATAGAATAGAATAGAATAGAATAGAATATAGAACAAGACAGAACAGGAGGGGAACAGAGCAGAATAGAACAGAAAATAGAACAGAACAGAACAGAATACTGTATTCTTTATTGGCCAAGACACAAAGAATTCGTCTTCGATGCATAAGCTCT